TGTGTTTGAGCCGGGCCCACAGGCGTGTGTCATGGCACCTATGTGGTGTGTGTTCACGGGCAGCTTCGATGCAGTCACACACAAGCCTTCAGCATGAGGTAAACGCCTCTGTTTGCTCAGGTGTGTCCATTTTCTCATTCTCCTGCTCTTCCTCTTGCACCGCCGTCACCCACAAAGCAAATTCCGCAACTCCCCGACAAATAGAAGATATGGAGGAAGTGTGTTTGATGTGCGTGTCCGACCGCCATGTTTGCGTTTGATGTTGTACAGGTGAGCTGTCCAAGTGTTTGATTCAGCAGGGGAAGAAGAGCTCAGTAACTGATGACACACAAGCTCCAACCGTGTACTCGTCAAATACAGGGCTCTATTACACACATACATCTCAATATCTCCAGACACACGTGCATACTGTGAAACTCTCAGATGTGTTGGCAAACACACTCTTATGAGGTTAAACTGCAAGGTTTTTTTCTTCGCATCAAGAGCTCAGATTTACACGTCATTGGCATTATTTTCACGATAGCTGCATCATAGTATTGATTGTCTTTAGCCTCGTTGTAAACTCAGCACCATGGCAGGTAGGGCATTTTCTTACCGTGCACCAAAACTATGGAATGCTCTTCCTACAAAAATTAGGAAAGCTGGTTCCTTGGACTGTTTTAAAGCAGTTTAAAAGTTTTAGAAGATGGTGGCGCAGTAGGTAGTGCTGTCGCCTCACAGCAAAAAGGTCACTGGTTCGAGCCTCGGCTGGGTCAGTTGGCGTTTTTGTGTGGAGTTTGCATGTTCTCCCTGCGTTTGCGTAGGTTTCCTCCGGATGCTCCGGTTTCCCCCACAGTCCAAAGACATGCGGTACAGATGAATTGGGTAAGCTAAATTGTGCGAAGTGTATGGGTGTGAGTGAGTGTGAATTTAAGTGGACTGTACAAAAAACAATTAAGTTGTCCCCAAAACACTCAAGAACTTGCTCATTTTAACTGAGTAGTTTGAACAAACAGTACTGTAAATTTGAAAAGCATGTAAGTGTGTTGCTGCTTCCCTCTTGGTGGTCGACTACAAACTTTGATGCCAAACCAAAAACAAAGTACATTGTGCCATTTTTTATCATGAGAAGTGACCATGCACTCAAACACATGCTGGGTTCACTGTTACACAAAAATAATTTCAATTTCCGAAACTAGTACCAATTTCTTTTTTTTGACTTTTTGAACAAAATAATGTCTTATGTGAAAATCATTCTTTAGCATTTGATTTAGGATGATTTGCATTAGAATCCACCCTTCACTTTAAGTAACTCTGAATGCAGAAATTGCATGATATCCCCTATTTAAAGGTGTTGCTCCTCTATTATTCAGCCATAGATGCCCAAGAAAACACATTAAGGGCCCTATCATACACCCGGCACTATGTGGCGCAAGGTGCGGCGCAATACTTGTTTGGTAGTTTCAGCTTGGCACAAGAGTCGTTTTGAGGCGTTGCGCTACACTGTTTAAATAGCAAATGCATTAGCACTCATATGTGCGCCCATAGGCAATCTGGTCTAAAAAGGAAGGCGTTCTGAGGCGCACTGCTGGTGCGTCGCTATTTTGAGAAACTAAAATAGATTTTTCATTAGACCAAAACAAACCCGGTCTAAACTCCGGCGCAGAGTTGCGCCTCGCTTACGCACTGCTTAAAACGCACAAGAGAGCAAAAGGCAAATATCTTTACATTTAAAAAAATTTAAATATTAAGGATATATATAGGATATAATAAGAATAGATATAGGATCTAAATATAAAGGATTAAAATATTACAAAACATATTATTTTCTAGCCTACATAAATATGAAAAATCACTGCTTTTATGCCTTCTTCATCTCGGGAGGCTTTTTCAGTTCATTCATAACAATTTGCTTTTGTATAATGTTATTATTATTAGCAGTATTATTTATTATATCCATATTTATATTTGTTTTATTAAAAACAAGCTTAGAATTGCCCACCTGTCAGGTTTTAGACCATATGGGGCACAGCATGTGTTTTAGGATATAACTCAGGTTTTTGAGCACACTTCGTTAATATTGTTCATTTATTCGTTTGCTAGAAATTAGAACTGAATTTAGAAATAATTTTGAAACTAATATTTGCGCTTAACAAACGAAATTAATTATTTATAGACTAATAGATGTCTGTGCGTAAAGGTTTCCCTATCCAAGAGCGAAAGTAAAAGTAGATCATTTATCTCTCATTCTCACACAGTAGATGCTCTGTTTAACAGTTTTCTGTTAAAAAAAACTGTTAACTGTTTGCTTGTGAAATGCTCAGTTTTTCCACTTAGACTTACTTTACGTGCTGTAAATAGCGAATGCGCTCTTGGCGCGACGCAGCTGGCTCTTAAAGGGAATGGGAGATGAGACTCTAATTGGTTTATTCTCAAAACACACCTATAACTCATTAAGAAAATGAACTCAACCCTTTTAGACCATGCGCTATGGCGTCAAGCGGATTTTCCCGTCCTTACATTAGCAAAAATGCGTTCTGACACGCCCTGAAAGCGTTTGCACCCAGCGTTTTGCGCTCTGCGCATGGACTGTCAAAATAGAGCCCTAAGTGTGTACAACATAATACTTACAATGTGACAAATATTAATGTTTTTTTTTCTGCTTACAACTACCTGACAACATGTATGCAGGTCTCTGATCCAAGCAAATAACTGGTTAGCTTGGTTTGACAGATTGTTTGTTTTTGTCAACGCACAAGCCATTTTTGTTTATGTGTGCATTTTAGTGAGAAAAGAGTCTCACTTAGGCTCATCTGTGTAGTCGAATTGGTCTGTCTCTTTTTTCTTTGGAATTTGTGAGCGCCTTGATGTATTTGACATCTGCGCGACAGGCCACTGCTCCTCAAGACTAGTCCTGAAACTGTGCTGTCCAGACCAGCTGTGTGTGTATGTGTGTGTGCATATTGTAGGGTTGTGTTTGCCCATCAGAGCAGCCAAGCATTTCCACTGGCAGAAAAAAATACACACAAACACACAAATCCACTGGCCTTTTTTAATACCCATCGCTTCTGTCATGAGATAAGTTTTGACACCAACAATGAGTGCGTGTCAAGTTGTCAATTTTATCTCTCCCTCTCTTCCTTTTACGCGTCCACTTTGTCTCATTCTAGCCCTGTTCCTCCGCCTTATTCTTCCCTTCCCGCCATCTCTCCCAGGCCTTTAAGTCAAGCCTGTCCATGAATAGTGCATGTTATTTTGTTTTGTAGATTTTTATTTGACAGTCTGCCTGTCCTTTTTTATTCTTTTGGTTTATCAAAAATATCCAGACGAATCACATTCAGCACCGAACCCTCATAAGTGTCTTTTTCTTCTTCTTCTTCTCTAGAGTCTCCTTATGCCGTTATTGCAAAACCTTGCAGTAACTTTACCAGTTATACAACCCTATTTCCACTCACGAACACATCCGCACACTCTCGCACGTGCAGCCGTGTCCTTTCTCAAATCGGGACGTAACCTTTTTAATGCCGTTACTTTAATGTTATTAACAGGACATTTTATTTTACTCTAAAAGTCAAGACCCATTTGGGCGAAGGCTGACTCACAAAAAGCCTTTCCCATGTGAAACCACTGCCATTATTAACATGGCTGAAATGTGAAACTCGGCCTCCGTAAATGTCAGGGAATAGAGGGCATATATATGGCCCTCTTTCTGCATTAACATCTCTGCCGTGCGTCTACGTTCTTTAGGGAACAGCGTGGCCATTCTGCAAGCCTGCTTGATGGGGGTCCTGGGTGTGGAGGCAGGATCAGGGTCACTGATGTAACACTCCCCGCCGTCCCACCTGAACACTGCAAGAAAAAGCCGTTTCTCTTGCACCTGTGGTGAAGATATAGAGGACGTGTGTGTATGACGGAGAGGGACGTAAGTGGGTGCACTTGTGAAATTTATTTGGGTATCAGAGTTTTATGCCGGTTGCTGTTGGATTTACAGGTTGGAATGGAATGCAGGCCAATGAAACGCTCTTTGATGAGCAGAGCAGGTTGAGTTTTTAACAGACGAGCACCACATAGAAGGCCGTAGTTTATGTGGCTTTGTGAAGCCTCCGCTAGAGCCATAAAAACTAGAGCTGCCCATGAACAGGAGCACTATGGGATGGCAGCAGAGCATTCTGGGAAAATGCCTGGGACTAGGGGCATACACTTTTAAAAGGGCATGAACTTTTGTTAGTTGTGATGGAAATGCAGCTATTGTCGAATTGGCATCAGCAACTACACATTTCTGCTGCTTTATGAATATTTTTGCCTGTAATGTTTGTATTATGACGACACGGTGGCTGAGTGGTTAGTACTGTCACCTCACAGCTTGAAGGTTGTTGATTTGAGTCCCAACTGGCTTTTCTGTGTGGAGTTTGCATGTTCTTCCCGTGTTGGTGTGGGTTTTCAACGGGTGCTTCGGTTTCTCCCACAGTCCAAAGACATGCGCTATAGGTGAACTGAATGAAGTAAATTGGCCGTAGTGTATATGTGTGATTGTGAGTGTGTATGGATGTTTCCTATTACTGGGTTGCAGCTGGAAGGGCATACGCTGTGTAAAACATACGCTGGATAAGTTAGTGGTTCATTTCACTGTGGTGACCCCTGAGGATTAAAGGAACTATGCCGAAGGAAAATAAACAAATGAATATGTGTTTGGTGGTAACCATCTGAGAATGGCCATCTGAGAACCATGTCTGAGAATGGCCATAAGCTGTGACTGTTCATAATATAGTAGAGTCTTTAATAACTATCACCATCCTGTATTTGGGATTTTTTTCAGTACATTTTATTATTATCATTATTTTTTGTGTCTCAACCTGAATTTATTTTGACAAACTATGTAGAAATTATGCGTATATGACCTTTACTTTTTAGGTGTGAACTAGGATGACAGTTAAGGGGTTAAAGAAAACCGATTATGTCCTAAGAATGACCAATAACCAAAATAAAAGTTTTTACCTTTTTGTGTTTTTTTGTCTTTACAGAGGCGAAGGCTTCTACAGGAACTAGGAGAGCAGAGGATTCCATATCTTTCCCCAACAGACCCAGGATTTCAGGACCTGGTTAGAAATTCATACAAATACTTAATAAGTTTTAGTATGTTGTATATACTCTACAGTTCAACTCTCTGGGGTCAACTAGGATAAAAAAATGAATGCTTTTATTTAGCAAGGATCTATTAAAAGATTATAGTGTGCAAAAGATTTATGTTTAAACAAATAAAGACCCCCCCCCCCTTCAACTTTCTTGTCTTATCAAGCAGCACATCTGTTTTTAACTGACAACAAAACCTTCATTAGAATGATTTATGAAGGATCATGTGACAGTTTTGAAACATTGAAGTAACAAATTATATATTGTATTATATTATATTATTTGACATTATATTATATTATATTGTATTATATTATATTATATTATATTATATTATATTATATTATATTATATTATATTATATTATATTATACTAATATATTTTATATTATATCATTCTATCATACATTCTTGCTATGAGGCGACAGCACTACTTACTGCGCCACTGCTTCGCCCATTTTATTATTATATTATATTATATTATATTATACTAATATTATATTATACTAAAATTATATTATATTTTATAATTATATTATATTATATTATTTTTTAATATATTATATTATATTATATTATATTATATTATATTATATTATATTATATTATATTATATTATATTATATTATATTATATTATTATATTATACTAATGTTATATTATAGTAATATTATATTATATTTTATAATTTTATTATATTATATTATATTATATTATATTATATTATATTATATTATATTATATTATATTATACTAATGTTATATTATAGTAATATATTATATTATATTATATTATATTATATTATATTATATTATATTATATTATATTATATTATATTATATTATTTTTTGTAGTTTTCTGTTTTAGTAAATAGATTATACAGTTTGAACAGTACAAAAACCAGTAGGTCTGTGGAGCTTCATTAATTTAGACCCTCAAAGTAAGTGTATGCTTATACGTAATTACATTGTGCTGTATGTTTGTGTCTGTAATTTGACAGTGGGACTCCAGTTATGCGGGCCTGGCTTTGCGGCAGTCTGGTACCCTTCCAGAAGGTCTCCATGAGAAGGTTCAATCTGCTCTGTTAACTCTACAGCGGCATGGATGTCTCCTCCGAGATCTTGTCCGAGTTCGAGACCGGGACGTCTTCACGGCCGTTTCACGCGCTCTCGTGGGTCAGCCGGGCTACACGTACCGTTATCTGGACACTCGTCTGTTCACCATCCCCTGGCACTGTGAAGGAGAAGAGGGCCAGAAAGATGAGAAAGGCAAACCTTGCTGTGACTCCGACCTGAGGGACGCTTGTAAAGCATTATGGGAGCTCAATCAGTTCTTTTGCTCGGATGTAAAGCAGCAGACAAATGCAAGAGGTGTCAAGCGTACCCGCAGTGACACTGAAAACAGCGAAGATGCGCCAGGGGAGGGAATGTGCGAAGAAGAGAGTGTTAAGGACAGGTTAGTTGAGGAGAAAACCATAGAGGAGGAGGAGGAAGACAGTGGACAGGGCTGCTCTCATTCCTCACCTCCTTCATCCACTCCGCCAGCTGCTCAGGCCAGCCTGGTTCAGTTTAACGTCACGCTAATCAACTACATGAACCCTGCAGCCATGACCCAGCTGAAGGAAGAGCCATATTACGGCATGGGCAAAATGGCAGTCGGTTGGCATCATGATGAGAACCTGGTTCCTCTCTCACCAGTTGCCGTTTACAGCTATAGCTGCCCAGCAGAGCCAAAGAATGAAGGTGAGAGGTCAAAAGTGCTATTAAAAAGTGTTTCATGTCCCTCACCTGAGACCAGGGATGAGCAGTACTTATGATACATGTTTTAAATACAAACTAGTAATTTGTTTTGTATCAAAATACTTTAGTGTCGTGCATTTTTGTATTTTTAAAATACTGTAAAATACTTTGTGAAAAGTCTACACGATGACATCATAAAAATGTGACCTTTGATTGGTGCTTTTCAGTCTTTTGGCAATGCTTGAAATATTGATGGAAATTATGCAACACGTATAAAGAAAGACAAAACAGACAAAAAGCAGGGGTAGATTAGGGAGCAAGTCAAAATAAGACGTGAAATAAGACAAACAGCATAAAGTGGTACAGTGGCGATACCTACAAAACTTTACTGACTGTTTCAAATGCCAGTAGCTGATCTGCAGGTGCTCTTTATAGTTAATTACCAACTTTAACAGTTGATCAGAATGTGACAAAAGTATTTCATAATATTCCAATCAACAAACTGGCCAAGTCAGGTTTTATGGCAGCAAAAACAGATAGCATTTTCTTTTTTTAGATATCGTGTTTAATATTATGTTTTGAAGAGTACAACTACAAAAAAAAAAAACCCAAAAAAACATGATTTATGGAAATGAATAAAACAGAATATTTGAGTAGTTTTCAGAAATCATGAGTTTTCATCGAGTGTGAAAGATTTCAATTGTAAAAATTATCTGCATTAAATGGTTTTTACAGTGATTAAAGAGATCATCTTCCAGACAGGGCTTTCTGTATGAAATTTGTACAAAATCTATACTAAAATAAAAGAAAAACACAAGTTGTATTTTTATGAATACCTCCTCATGTCCAGTAGAGGTGAATGAGGTGCAGAGAAACTGGTTTAAAGTTGATCAGAGAAAAGCTGTTGCTATCAATTATTGTCACTTTAATAGTGAAGGGATTGATCCAATAGGCCTATTGATGGAAGGTTTGCGAAGAAATTTTATGCTATTTTAGTATTTTCAAAATACAAAAATACAATATTTTATTTTAATACATTGAGGCCCAATCCCAATTCTATTTTTGTACCTCTACCCCTTCCCCTTGGCCCTTCAAACAGAGTGTGAAGAGGAAGGGCTTTAAAATGTACCCCTAAGAAATGGGACACCACTACAATACCTGCACACGTCATCAAATGTCATTGTGAGCTCTTGCTTTATATGAGATCAGACGATCCCTAATGCAGTATATATTCCAGTTATGTTATTTTTTGGTATTTATGTTAAGGCAACGATGTCATGTTATCATAATGATCTAATGTGGCAATGAGCTCGTAAATGTACTGTGCATTTACACCCTGGCCATATTCATCTATGTAAACAGAAGAAAACATTAATATTATGACACTATAAATAGGTCATTCTCAGCCACTAGACTTTTTTGACAGGGTTATCATGTCATAGAGTACAAGAATATTGTGGGACTGCTATACATACAGTTATGCAGAGGTATGACTTATTATTATGGATTATACATAGCGAAATTTAGCATTTTTTTAAAGCATGATGGTAAAATACGAACGCCGTTATGAATGTATTAAAACATGTGTTTGTTTGTAGTAAAAAAAATCATATTAATGACAAAAAATACTAATTTGTGCATCTCCTGACTTCTGGGAGCAGCTATGCAGCTGTTGTGGCTGCTGTATTCTGGGAAAATTTCTTCCCCCTTGGTTTCGAGTGTCGTCCTGAAAAATCTCTTTTTCGAGGCCTATCTAGCCCTTTCCCTTAGCCCTATGCCCTCAAGATAAAGAGAATTGGGACACCCATACCCCTTCATGTGAGGGGAAGAGGAAGGGCTAAGGGGTAGAATTGGGATTGGGCCTAAGTGGCCTCTGTATTTTGTCAGTTGCCCAAAACAAAAATACAAATATTATGTCGTAATAAATCTCCATCCTTCCATCCATCCATCCATCCATCCATCCATCCATCCATCCATCCATCCATCCATCCATCCATCCATCCATCCATCCATCCATCCATCCATCCATCCATCCATCCATCCATCATACTTGTTTACAGTACATGAACAGTATTCCACCATAAAACATACTGTACACCTTGGAACGTTCATGATCATATTTTTAATTATTAATAAATAATTATTGCTCGCTGAAATATACAGATTAAAACTTTATAGGCTTACATTAATAGTTTCAGAATTGCATTGTCTCACCGAGCAGATAATGAAAGGAAAATGAAAACATTCATGTACTTTTTTAATTATTGCACTGATTTTCTTTCTTCTGTGGATCTTGAAATTGCAGAATGTTCTTTTGCACTTTCAGTGGGGTTGATGATTTTTTTTTTTTCAGTTTTTTAGTGAACTATCCCTTTTTAAAAGTTTTCACGTGCAACTCATTTTTGTTTCATTTCAAATAATCCTTCATCTTTTTTCCTAGCTCACCACTGCTGAGAACCTAAACATTTATTATGACACCAGCCAGTTCAAAACCATCCTTCACTGAATGTGCTCATGCAGTCATTGTATGAACTTGTTCCATGGGGAAGGAGCCAGATCTTCCATATTTCACACGAATCTCACTAGAGAAGTTTTTTTTCTGGACATCAGTCTCTCTTCACGTCAGGCTAACAGCTTAGCATGCAGCTGTGTGCGTGTGTGTGTCAGTTCGACAGAACAGAGCGTGGTGCGCTAACCAGAACCACCTGCCTCACGAGCTCTGTTTCACCAATCTCTTACTGACCGATTTGACCTTTGACCTCCCCAGGGCCCGCTTCAAACAGTGCATGAATGGCCTGTGTGTGTGTTTTTGTGTGTGAATGTGTCAGTTTGTGTGGAATTATTTCGCAGCTGTTCTTTTGGAGGTAAAATTGACCCCTCGGTTCCAGACTTCAGAGAGACTCCCCTGATGGAACGCTTTTGCAGCGCGTACGCACCCGTGCAGAGCATCGCACAAAATGTTGCCTTCACTTTAGAGAAACCGCTATGAAATGGTGCAGACCAGCTGAAACAGATTGTTGCTCAGAGGAATTTCACTTTGTACATCATTTATTTGTTGCTTTGTGTGTGAGCATGAATGGGTTTTATTTTTTATTGTCCCTTTGGATAACATCTGTGGGTTGTATAGATTCGTGTTTCACCTGAACATGCTTTGAAGGAGAGGTTTTTCTTGACGCCTGCACCTTTTAACACATCTGTGATGGGTTTATAGAGCATGTTGGCCGTGCTGCGGCGTGCAGTATCCTCAATAGTCTCTGGCGGGTGGGGTGGGGGGGAGCCGCACAGTGACAAATCTGTTCAGCTCTTCATCCAACACTGACTAGATCCAGCTCATTTCCTTTTCTAACAGGCATTGGTTCATGCCACTGTGATTTTGAAGTGTTTTTTTGAAGGAATCTTTTCCGCCACTGCTGTGTTAGCTGCAGATGGCCCTTTGAGAGCTGTGTCAGAAAGCACAGGCTGAAATTAAGTTACTATTTAGCCCTGCTGAGCGCAGAGAAAGCCTTGCTCAGGGCTCAAGCTTCCAAGAGCGCTTTAGTATTGATTTCACTGATAGGTGTCAGCCTGCCCTCTCTAAACATTTTTCTGTCTCTCCTAGGTTACATTTTCAACGTTTATTTCTTTTTGGGGGCTTTTTCATTGTTTTTTGATTAACTCAGATTTTTTGTGGAAGTTGATTGACGTATATTAGTGACAACTCAGACATTTTATTAAAAGTAACTTACAGCGCAACAACTATAATAGTGCTTACATTCACTTATAATTCTAAAATTGAGCCCTCCAGCCTCTCATGCTGAAAACCGTAGTTTGAATCCCTCTCAGATTGGGGCGAGTAGAAGCAGTGCAGTGAGAGTGAGGTTTAGGCATCTGAATGTCACAGAAGCCTGCTCTTAAGAGTTGTGCAGGTAAACCTCACTCACCTGGCCTAAACAGGTGACTGGTGATTGATACTAGAACTGTCTGTACTGTCCTTGTTAGTATGCCCACCTTTCTTGCAAGAGATTCTGATTTGAATCCCATTGCAAGTGGTTCAAGTAGGTCTAGAGAGATTATATTTAGTGCTGTAACCCAGATATAATACAATATAATTCTATTCATATTGCACAATTTAAGTCAACCCGAAGATGACTGAAGTGTCTTAAAATATGGAAAACAAATTTAAAACACAACAAACAAATACTGTAAAAACCAATAAAACACAAACCTGTAAACATGGAGTTCGTAAAACAATCATAACACATGCTGTAATCACAAAACAATAAACATAAGTAATATTAAACGCCATGCAAAATAAAGAAGTTTTAAGCAGGGACTTAAAATCGGCAAGGATAGGGCATTGGAAAGCCTCATTCACATTGCGAGCGACTCACAGTGGCAAAGCGACAAGGTACTGTTCATTTCAACAGAGTGTTAGCGACTTTAGGCGACCTCTGTCTATACATGCGACAGCGACGGTTGGCGACCAGGTGGGCATGTTGAGCAACACAGCAAAGTTGAGAATCCAGCTAATTGGAGCATCAGTAGAGCTCACGTTTTTCTCTCTCAGCGCGCTTAGAGGCCAGATGTAGACCTACATAGGCCATGCTGTAGACCTACACAGGCCTGCGTTTGCAGCAGATCGCCACTCAGAGCAACAGGCAGCTACAAATTAGCTGCTAGTGTAAATGAGGCATAATACAAAATGCAAGACTATTATATAGTTTTGAGCTTGCTACAGAAAAAGCAAGATCTCCTATAGTTTTTGTCTTATAAACTTGCAAAATTTTTGAGTCAATAAATCTAAGTGATTTAGATGTTGCTTAGGCCTGTAAAGGCTCTGTTGAGTACTCTCAGGCTTAATTGTGAAGAGATTATTGTCAGCAAATTGATGTCAATTCTATACTTAAAGTCCCCAAGAAATCAAAACTAACCATATTGATTCTGTTAGCTCATATTGCCAGTTTTGTGGTGAACAATTCATTTGTGCATGACATTATGAAAAAAAACAAACATGGTTTGCCTTTCTAATCTTGAATTGAATCTGGATATGCACTTCCTGTTTGTTTTCAGTTAATTTATCATATCACATGATTTTGAGGTAATGGGCGTGGCTGAAATATTTGACAACAAACAGAAATGCTAAGGAGGAGGAGTCTGTTATGTCTGAATAACTCTTTTTAAAACCCGTTTCCTGATCTTTCTGAATAAAATTCCTACTTTTATTACATCCATTCAGCCTGCTGTAGAAAAAACAAGCAAGAAAAAGCAAGAACTAAGAACTGTTTGCTTATTGAAAATTCTGCTTCATTAGGAACTGCATCCCAATATAAAAAAAGAACAATTGCAGCTTCCGGTTCATTGGGACTTTAATTGGCTGCCAGTGGAGTGATATTAAAATATGTTTGATGAACTGATATTTGCATTTTTCATTAAGAAGTCAAGCTGCTGTAGTCTGAACTACTGTAAATTGAGACGCACAGGACTGAGAAACACCAACATACAAAGAATTGCAGTAGTCACGTCGAGATGTTGCAAATGCATTCATAGCTAGTTTAAGTTTCTTCAAGGATAGAAATGGCTTCAATTTTGAAAGAAGATGGATATAATAAAAACAGAACTTAAACATAGTTCTTGTCTATCAAATTTAGAATCTTTGCTAGCACTCTTGCCTCCCATGCCAGAATCTTCAGTTTGAAGTAGAACTGGAGGATTTGGATTTGTGCTGTGACCCAAATGGGAATGACGTTTAGGGGTGTGAATGGAGCAGAGGCTACCTTTGAAGTGGATCAAAACCTTTTGTTAGTCAAAGTTGTTCTAAAAATGTTGACCAACACCCATTCTTGTCTTACAAACACAAATGTTGTGTACAAATGTCTTGCTGTTATGCCTACCTCACACGCCAAATACTACCATATTGAGCGAAACGATAGATTACATCTTAATTAAACACTCACAGATTATTGGTATTGTTTGGAAATGTTTTAGAACATCCCTGCTCTAAATTTCAGCATCTTTGATTACAGGAGTTACTGAGAAAGACGGGGAGGGAAAGAGCAAAGAAAAAGAAAGAGAGGCCAAAGGTGAAGGAACAAGTACAGAAGAAGTGAAGAAAGAAGGAGAAGCCTCGGTGAAGGAGGACGTGGAGAAAGAGAAGACGTGTTGGCGAGTTGGTTTGAAGGTGGCCTGGGACATCCACACACCAGGTCTGGCTTTGCCTCTCCAATCTGGAGACTGCTACTATATGACAGGTACACAATCATTCATCTGTATCCAAAAACGGTAGACTCATGTGCTTGTGTAAAGCGGATTGGACCGTCTCGGTCATGTTGAAGTGCATTAGACCAGGAATTATCTTTCCCAGAGGACGTGCACATCGACATGCTTTTATATACATGTGTGTGTCTGTTTCCATAGGATTTGTTTCCACACGGTCCTTATCATGTGTATAAGAGAGGTTAAGAAAACCAAATGTTATTTTATGATGCGACGTGACCCCTGTCTGAGAGCAGGACTGAGAGGGAGAATCAGTAAATCAGACTTTTATTACTGATGGCTTCAACAGATGCCCCCCGTCTGCGACCCCACAGACGTACAAACTCCCTACTCTAAATATCCTATAAAGAGTGTCTCATGACCTTGATAAGGACACTATTTATTTCCCGATTTCTGTGTACAAGCATGACTAATGCTTCCCCCGATGGCACACGGTTTTATCGTCTCTGTTTAGACGTTTTCATCTGGGCTTTCCAACAGTTGGGCCTCTTTGTTGCTGACTGCTCTTAACTGAGTGTTATTTATACCTGCCTAATGGGGCTCTCAGTCTTGTGAAGCGACTTTAAATGAAAAGCTAAAGTAGTATAAACATAATGGGTCATAATGGGTTTTCTGGGTGTAGTAAGAGGGTGAAAGTGTGACTGGGAAACTGGGCTCATGAACTGTTAATGATACTATGTCTTCTAGCTGAATTAGTCAGTTCTTTTATTTTTACTTTTTAAGTACAAAGCTACTACTAAATGGATATAAAGTCTTTTGGATAAAAAGAAAATGGATATAAAATGGATGTAAAGTCTTTAAGCAGCCTTACATTCTCTGAAGAAGCTGTAGGTTAGAAACTCAAACATCAAATCAGATGGTTCAAAGGCAGTAAAGCGAAGTAAAATAGAAAAGAATAAAGGAATGATAAAAAGAAGCGAAGAAGGACATGAAAACAAATAAATTGGGAAGTGAAAACAAAATTAATACACCGTGAAAAAAAAAATCCCTAATGTTTGTAAATGTGGCAGCTGTGGTTGGTTAAAAATACTTTAGAAATGTAAAATACCCAGTTAAAAATTATGCAAGTTATGATACGCTGGTTCGAGCCCGGCTGAATCAGGTGCCATTTCTGTGTGGAGTTTACATGTTCTCCTCATGTTTGCGTGGGTTTTCTCCGGGTGCTCCGGTTTTCCCCACAGTCCAAAGACATGGCACAGGTGAATTAGGTAAGCAAAATTGTCTGTAGTGTACAGTATGTGAGTGTGCGCAAGAGTGTATGGGTGTTTCCTAGTGTTGGGTTGCAGCTGGAAGGGTATCTGCTGTGTAAAACATATGCTGAATAAGTTAATATTAATTTATTGATAAAAATTATTAACTGGTTAATAAAGGGACTTAGCCGAAAAGAAAATGAATGAATGAGTGATATAAAAAGTCATTTTATTTATTTATTTTTTTATTTATTTTTTTATTTATTCATTTATTTATTTAGCATTTTTAGAGAATTTTTTTTACTGTTGAAATCACAGACATTTTTTACAGTGTATATGGTTACACAAAATGACAGGAAGTAAAAAAGAAGGTAAATGAAAGGATAAAACGAATAATATACACATACAGTAAATCATTCCCCGGAGGATTTCAGTGGCTGAACAACACTTCTGTGCAAATAATCCATTTGTAACAACCCAATCTACATCAGCTTGACTAAAAGTGTTTTACAACATAACATTACCTGTCTAAAAGAAATTATTTAGCCGTGGTATTGATTCAGTTACATCAGGATTTTCAAAATTTTGATTCAGCATTTGTTTTTACCACTCTCTCTCATCTCGTGTGCACATGACGTTTGCATGGCATGCGTGTACGCACAAATGGCAGGAAATGGCAGGATTTTCATGAACAGAGGTGTGCAGTTGTACAAATGTACATTTGCCAACAGACAGTTTGGGCTACTTATCTAATTATGGGAATTGTTGGCCCGACAATATTTAATTAAATGAACATTTTTTAATCTTATGCCTCATCCAGAATATAAAAATACATAAAAACACATTTAGATAATTTACTTTAATCATTACTTTTGAAATGTGAGGAGACTTTCAACCAGCACAACAAAAAAGGATTCTAAAGACGATATAGATTAAATTTAATGATGGAAACCGGAGTTAAAAGGTAAGAATTAACGTAACCAAAGTGGGAGACGGAGGAAGGTGTTTAAAAAATAACATATATTCAGCTTTACCATCATTCTCTAACATTGTCAGAGCTCTTCCTCTCCATCCGCTGATGCCTAAGACTGCTGTGTGCAAATCTAATCAGCAGATTTTCAGAAATGGAATTTGGGGCTGTGTAGCGGGGAACAATATGTTGGACCGACACCGGGCCCAGCAGCTAATAAGATTTTCTTAGCCGAATGCTCCAGGGACAGAACAGAGCTAAGCAGAGGTTTTGACCCAATAGATTTGAAAGCCCACTTTTAACTCAAGCACATCAGCCACCTATCATCGAGAGAATAACGATAAATATTTATTAGGAGAATTTGCTATGACCCATGATTCATGCTGATGCCGTGAGTGAGTCTAGGTTGAGAGATGAGGAATGTTATTAGATATCTGTTGTTTTAAAAGCAATTTTATGTGACGGGGAGGAATAATACAGAGTACAGAGAAAATGAAAGCGTTATTTTTGTGCTCACACTAGTATATGCTGCCTACATCAGACAATGCTGTGAATCCATTGATTTTAATGGGACACACTGCATCAAAGTGGCTTTCAACGAAAGTCAGTTTTGCTGATTTCTAGCATTTCCAGGCTGCTATTTTGGGCATGCAAGACCCACTTGTATCTGTCTGAATGAGGTAATAGTAAAATCTTCAAAGACTGTGACCAAACTTACTCATTTTAAATGGCAAATTTCAAAACCACAGCAAAATTTAACATGAACATTGTTGTGCTAGTGTTTTTATTGTGAGTAAAGTGTATATTTCTGGTTTATATTGCCTGTGTGTACAAGTATATACAGTATAGTTCTAAACTTAAATCTCAGATAGCTATTGGCAGTTTCAGTGATGCAATGACTTTACCAGTTGCCAGTTGACTCTTTTATTTAGAAGGGTGAACTTGCATTATATTAGCCACCTTGGAGTGGTCATATTGCACATTGCACTTTCCCCTGTTCACAGCAATATGAGTGCACTATCCTGGTATATTTGCTATTGAACATGTATCAAAATATCTGAACAGCCATGTACACTGCTCCAAGTTGTGTTTACATTAACATTTCAATATAGTTGAAGACAAAAACATTAGCCCTACTGCATGTGAAATATAAATTGTCTTTTAATTTTTTTTTCCCTCCAACTCAACAGAGCAAGGCCATTATTCAGTGTAAAGTGCTCAGCATAATAGAATACTCCCCATTTTGAAAATTAATACTTGTATCAATTTCTCAGTGATTATACGCTATGTATTTTGGTTCATTCAAACATAACAGATTTATTGAACAGATAGATTTATTAAAATAACATTTTAGTCAACAAAACTTTTTTTAAAAATTATAGATATTATAATTAAATTCAAGCAAAATATTGCAAAAATAAATTAATAAATAAATTACAAACTACAAAATTTCAACAATTGTTTTTGCTTCTCTTGATTTTTCCTCTTTTTTTTTCTTTATTGTATTTAATATTTTTCTATAACATATAAATTTGGGTGTACTACTTTTTGGACCGTTAACATAAGTTATTTTGTCCACATTTGGCTTCAGTACTAACTAATCTAATATTTATGCACACATAATATTGTATGGCTTCCTATTAAAATATGAATTTAAAAGATAATATTAAAAGTATTTTTGTCTTGGATTGATTGATGTTATTAACCCATTTGTCCTCCTCATTGCCCCTATGTGCACTTTAAGCTGAATACCAGACTCTTGAAAAATAACTAGTAAAATATAAACTAAAGAAATTAGTTATGATAGATTAACTCATAAAGCTGAAAATATGTTCTCCCTGTTAAACAGCATTATTTTTAAATAATTGAATTTGACTGGAATGCTAATACTTTTGTCTATAACTTTATGTGCTGGGCACGTTTCTTTTCAAAATCTAAAAGGATAACAAAAGGTCTTGCTGTTGCAAACTCTGAAACTTAATGAACCAGACTTCAGTTTGTTTTGATTTTGAATAGAAGTTCTCTCTTATATTATTATTATTTTTTTGCTTAAATGTTTTAAAGACCTTAAGAGTTAGTTTATCCTATATTAATATTAAAACAACAGGTGAATTGGGCAGGCTAAATTGTCTGTAGTGTATGTGCGTGAATGGGTGTGAATAGATGTTTCCCAGTGATGTGTTACAGCTGGAAGGGCATCCGCTGTGTAAAAACGTGCTGAATAAGTTGGTGGTTCATTCCGCTGTGGCGACCCCAAATTAATAAAGGGACTAAGCCAAAAACAAAATGAATAAATTAATAATATTAAAACAAATTTGTGATCATTTACATACGAATATGTCTTCCTAAAACCATAAGAACTGTGTTTATCTTCAGAAAAGAAATGTCTTTAGATGAATATAATTTAGGTTTGTTTTATGTGATCTGTGAACAATGCTTACAACGATTAAATGTAGTTACTGATGCACAAATTGGCTTGAGGTTTCATTCTTGTATGTCTCTACCATAATGTACCATTCCACAAGAATTAAAGGGATAGTTCTCCCAAAAATCACAATTCTGTCACTATTTACTCAGCCTTTACATGTTTCAAACCTTTGAGTCAAACCTTTTTTTTCATTTGCCTAAACTGTCTTAATGTGTCATCCAATGATAAATGCACAACATGAGGGTGAAAAAAGTGATGGCAGAATGTTGTTGTTCTTAATGTTTTTGTTTCTAATCATTGTGTGTGTGTGTGTATGTGGCTGTTGCATTGTATGCACAGATGATCTGAACCGGACACATCAGCACTGTGTACTGGCTGGTGACACAGCTAGATTCAGCTCAACTCACAGAGTCGCACAGGTGAGTGTCATCGCTTCAGTTCTACCTCCAACTTCTACAAAGTTCTTAACCAAAATCTCTCTATTTTTGCCTTACACTTAAACACCCCACACTAATATCAGTCATGTTTCTTCAGTGTTGTACGGGTACACTGGACTACATACAGAAACGTTGCTCTGAGGCCTTGGAGAATTTACACAGCGACCCCGAGAAGAACGCCAAGAGCCTGATTTCCCTCCTGCCCTCCATCCTCCAACGCATTGAGGATATCCACAACGAGGTGTGTATGAGAACACGAGTGTTTGCAGCAATGGAAAACCAAATCCCAAGCGCACGTCTCGGGCCGTAACAGATGAGGTTGCTCAGAGGTTTTTTAAAGGTTGTACTTTGCCATTAATTTTTCAAAGCTCAAACAATAGCCGTTCCAGTGGGCCAGACCATCAGTGTGGCCTTGCGTAGGTCTCCGTTGAACCCCCAACTCACCTGGATTACCACTCGGCACCTTAAAAACCCCTTCGAATTATATAAATATATATACACCAAAGCCTGGGGCTCCAGCCTCCCCGGAGGTTACCGACCTCAACACTCTGACCTGATTGAGGCTATTTTGTTGAAACTGCCCACCAGGGCCTGTGTGTGTTCTTAAATGATGTATTATTATGTTATTTATTATTGATACAGGTTTTTTATCCCAGCATGCTGTTCTAGCAGAGCTCAGCATCCAGCTCTTGTTTGGTGTGCTGGACTGCGTAGAGAATGCGGTATAAGCAGCCCCTGATGGTGGGATCTGCAGAGGATCTGCTGTGTGTTGGAGTAATAGACTGTGTTAGTCTATTGATGCTGATAAAGGTGAATGTTTACCTGTGCGTTTAGGGCTGGTGTTGCTATATGGAGGGTCAGAAGAAGAGGTTGTTGGAAAAGAGATGATTTCCTCTGTTTTTGTTTCTCTATTTCTCTCACGCCCAAGGGTTTGGGCCTGCAGGGTCTTTTTAAAATTCTTCAACTTGCCTTGCTGTGGATTTAGACGGTTATTGTAGCTACTAGAGATAGCTAGAACATATGTAGCATAGATGAGTTGCTTCTGCTTTGGTTTGCTCTCTCACATCTTGTTTCAAACCTGTATGACAGACTTTTTTTCAACAGGTACATTGTCCAAGATGAACTTTTGTTTACATTGAGAGTAGACCCAAGGATACTGAAACTTCACATAGACACAAACTCAAACTGTTATTGTTGCCAAAATTGACATATTTCTTTAATTTTTTTCTTCAATAGTAGTAGCCTTACAATGAAACATCTTCATTGTTTTCTTTGTCTTCATCTTTTCCTTAATTTTATTTTGTTGCATAATATCTATGCCACCTATAGTACTGCATTATGTTGGAATGTTTACTAGTTACTGATGTTTATTTTATTTATAAAGGTGCATTATAAAGAATATCTCTTTTTTTTTGTTTATATTTCACAGTTATCATCAATTGTGGCATGATGTGACAGCCAAACTCGTGATTCCATGTCTTCTGAATCCATGTAATTATAGTATTTCGTGTCCTGTCTAAATTGCTTGTGCATCCAAGTTTTGCATTAATAGTTTGGATTTATGCACATTTTGTTTTTGTGTACATTTTTTAACCAGAACAGAACGGTTTTGCTTAAGAACGATCTATATATATTTTGCTTAAAGTATCTATAGCTATGTTTTTTGTTTATTTAGTTTAAATGCATTTCCTATGACATTTTGGCAAATTGCAAACTTGATTTGGATTTTGGAAATAATATTTTAAATTTGTATATTATTGTTATTAAGCATGCAATTTCTGAAAATTCACTTAATAAAGGCACATTCATAGAAACCCACCCATTGCATTTAACTGAACAGAATAATGTCAATATATGGGTGAACTAATGTCCCATTATCATTCAGCATAACAATATATAATAATGTAAAAAATGAAACAACATGCTTATTCTAACCTGTATTTATTGAAATATGTAAAAAAATTTCTCTTGCTTAATTATATTGTATTTTATGTAACTGAAAAGTGCTTGGAGACAAATGGGTAAATCAAAGTAGATAGAAAGATGATTGCAAAATTTAAAGATTTCAGACTACAGCTGTATAAAATTTTGGGGCTGTGATGTGGGAATGATATGTTGGCGATAGTGAAAAATCAAAAGACATATTCTAACATATGAACAGTATTTAAAGCTGCATTACACATTTATTGTCTTGATGCTTTAAAACTTCTTTTCATCTTTGACCCACATATAAGGCTTATTTGTTTGACCAGATGTGCATATGTGGGTTTACCAAGCAAACAGCACAAACAGGCCTCTATTGATTGAGTCACAGCAGTGCTAGACTCGAGAGTGCACTGCTGAAATTGATTGCTAGTCTTAATAGTGATGTTTTAGAGATGTCTAGAAACCTTTACCCATTTCATCTATAGGGGATAGGCTACAGCAGTATGTCAATAAGAATGTTTTTATCCTTTTTTTCAGCGTGTATCGACAATGTATATTGGTACAATAAAACAAAATATTTTATTAAACAGTTATGTTTAATAAAATATTAGTTTGGTCACCTAGCATCTTTTGGAATAGAGAAATAATGCATTTAAATTCAAATGAGGTATTGCAAAAATTAAATACAATATTTAAAGCACATTTCAATTTTCCCATTTTATTAATAAGTTATTTTAAAATTATTTTTTCATAATATATTCATTGGGGTGCACCGTGATCTTAAATGAGTGGTCCAGAGTGTATTTTTAAGGCTTGGTTATGTTTAAAAGATGCTAAGCAATGTGTGCTCATGCTTCATTTGCAGAAAATCACAATATTTTTTCATATACATTATTCTGATTATTTACAGCTGCTATGCTAATATGAAAACAACAAATATTTTTTTCCCAGTTTGTCCGAAAGCCAGTTAGTGCATCCATGTCAATGTGAGCCTGAATTAGACATAATATGAAGAGGACACAGCTGAACGCTTGCTCTCTAAACTAAATTTTGACAAGTGTCTTATATATTCGGAATAAGCATGTGTAAGTAATATGAAACATTCACATATCTTTTACGAGTTATTTAAGATGTAGAACACTTAAAGCGACCACATAGAGAGACCCTGCAGCGCTGGTGAAGATTGTAGGTGTTTGCAGCGGTTGGAGCTGCTCCTTCTTTGAAGAGTTTTTAGCCAAATCCAGTACTGAACTGGGAGAGATTATGTAAGCTGTCCTTTGTCAAATGCTAGTTATATATTTTTAAAATTCTCTGGAACATAATTAAAATTAAACTGCAAGCACTTCTCTTTTTGTGTCTTGTCCTTTGGAAGTTTGTGATCTCACTAACCCAGATGTATTTTTTTTTAGTCCCCAAACTTCGTTTGCTGTAGACTTTGCTAAGGTAACTCTGTAAAAGCCAATGGCTGCATCCAAAACCGCATACTTCCATACTATATAGTACGCTAAAATCAATATGCGAGCCGAGTAGTATGTCCGAATTCATAGAATTTGAAAATCAGTATGCGAAAAGTACCCGGATGACTTACTACTTTAGGCAAGAATCTGGAGTGCGCACGCTGCGCTATCCCATAATGCCCCGTGCAAGAATTAATGAATAGAAGTGAAGCGATGCGACTGACGCAGGTAGGTCACGTGACCATGACAAAATGGCGAATGTAGTACATCTGAATTCCATTTATACTTTTCACATTTATACTGTATAGAACATACTTTTCTAACGGCTGAGCAGTACATTTAAATTCAAATGCAGTACCTACCAAGTAGTAGGCGGTTTCGGACACAGCCAATGTCTCCCTTTGCATTGAACTTTGAGCTTCTTGCATTCAGAGATGCTGTTTGTGTTCACAACTACATTACTCATGAACTAAAGTTTAAACTATGATATCGTAAGTTAGTTCCAGTTTTGGCTTTCTCATGTATATGCACAAAAATATTCTTGTATAGCATCCCGTTGACAGTTTTAATTTAAAAGAGAGATCTGTAAGGGGTCTACTCATTTATGCTAGGAACTGTGGGCCTACATGATAAACACCTGACCACTACAGTAGTTACTACCACGTTCAGCTGGAAACATAGACTGACAGACTGTCCACCTGTCACTGAAAGCCTTTTGTTTCTGTCTTTCTCTCTCTCTCATTCTGCCTCCAGCATATGCAGGTGGCATTTAGTCTCAGTACCTCACAGCAGCAGACGGCTTGGCTCTAAATGCCAGTCGCATAGTTTCCAGGTCTGTGCCTGTTGCAAGCAGGCTCTGCGGGAAACTGGCCTCCATGTTGGCTCAAAGCTTGCGGCGCTGTGTGGGTTTTTCAACACAGAAGGACAGACAGACAATCAGTGTGCGGGGGGACGACAGACACAAAAGCGGCTGCTAGCATTTGTAGCCTCCGGCATCCGTAGTGAGACTGTCAGCGGTCGGTACTGGTCTGAAGCGATTGTAGGTTTGAACCAACACAAAGTGTAGCATTTCTTTGAAGATGGCCATATGTGAAAGTGAACCCTGGGTGTCTGATCTCAGTCCAACTAAAGATGATCCTGTTCAAGCCAGTTTCAATGCTTATAACTGATAGCCAACACAGGTATTTATGAAGCAGAATGAGAGCGTCAGCTGTGCGGTTTAACGGCACAGCAGATAAAGGACCTGTTCATGGATTTCAGTGTGAGATTTAAAAATAAAATACACTTACAAACTACATTCTATTGTTAATACCAAACCATGGTACCAAGGGGTTGAACATATACCCCTTAGTGTGTGAGATTTTGTTTCGTCCTTACTGTTTTAGAGATTGTTTATATTTGTACCTGGCTTTTCTGTTTTGTTATATGCCTCACCATAAATACATGATCATATTTGCTAGAAATATTTACTGCGTATATATTTAATATATGAAGTTGCATCTAATATAAATGTTTTTATCTTTCTCAATATATTATTTTATAATATATATCATATACTTTATAATATTTTATCATATAATGCTGAATAGTAAAATAAATTGTTTTCCACAAAAAACTCAAGCAGAGAAAATAAAATGTTTATTTAGCTTTAATAATAATAAGAAGCATTAGTGATTAATTATGATAATCTTAATATACTGTAGCAGACAATCAGTTTATTAGAATGATAAATTGTGACAATGAAGTCTGAAGGAATGAAGTTGTGCTTTGAATCACAGTAATAAGTTAAGTTATATTTGCATTAAAAAAACAGCTCTTTTTTATTCTAAAATTGATATTGATTGGGAAATACACTTAT